TAATGTTTAGTTGTTAGAGATTAAAAAATACATAACACGTGTTCAATTTAAAATTATAAATTTATAAATGACGCAAATATATGCAGCACAGTTAATAACACGTTTATTAATTTTGCCACCATTTTTCTGCGGTTCCTATTGATCGCAGATGCATAAGTCAAATCGGGATGCATTATGCCTGCGAGTAATAAAGATTACATAAAAACGAAAAGTGGAGACAAAATTAGCAAGTATGGCGTTGTATGTTGAAACCGACAAATTTCGAACATTCGGTCAATGTCCGAATACTGTATCGGATATCCGAGAATTCATTAACATTAAGGAATTTCTATTTGGTACAACTCCTAATTCTCCTGGTTCTCTAAAATATTTGTGTAACGAGAAGTTTTTTTTCAAAAAAAAATTGCTCGTAATTTTAGATTACATTTAACCTAAACTAAAAATAAAATATAAGTCTTATTATGTAAATAATATAAATATTTATATTTTATTTATTTATATGACTTAGAAAATCAACATTATTTTATTAAGCTGACTAGGCATTTTCTCGTACATTTAGTAATAATTTCATGAACTGCTGCCAAGCATTTAAATTTTATTAACATTGAAGTATTAATAAATTGTAGTAGAATTTAATTGGAAAAAACTTGATCTAGTTGAGGAGGTTAGTATTTTTTTTTTTTTTTAATTATTTCGTACTATTAAATGGTGAATTAACAATTAAAATTTTATGATTAAATTCTTTTTCACATGGAAATTGAAACAGAAATTTACTAATTAGATTCGAAATATTCCGAAATTCGAATTATCAAATTCATAACAGCATATGTTAAAACATTAAGTTAAATAGATTGTTAAACTTATTAAAAGACGTATATAAGCTTAACAAAGGCTAGTAACTGTCTGAAGAGGCACTATTTAATAACATTACAGAGGAAACCATTACTGTCAAAGTTACAAAGTAACGACGACCGTAAATCGCTGTATACAAGACCCAGACCTCTTACATTCCACAAATTTTAAACCCTATAATATACCTAGGTCTAGTATACAGCCAAGAATTCATGCCATTAAGAGAAGAACTTTGACGAATATGCAAGTTTTGCATTTATAATCAGTGTTGGTAATTGGACGTAATAAATTTTTATTGGATTTTATTGGGCATATGCCCAATTCAAATTAGTCATATATATGTCCAATTCAAATAAAATTTTATTGATCATTGCCCAATGCCAACACTGTTTATAATAGACAGTCCAGATATTTGAAAAAACCAGGCTTGATTAATATAGATCCCGTGATTCGCATTCAGGTATACTACGTGGCAGTGTTAAATTTCTGAAATTTTTTTTAGTTTTTTGAGAACATAAATTGATAATTTTATGTTATAAACATTTTAATGTTCTTAAAAAAAAAATTATATATTTTCTATATATCATATGAGAACATAAATTATAAATTTTATGTTCTTAGTTGGTTCTCAAAAGAGAACATAATTTTTAAATATAATGTTCTCAAATTTTTTTAAATGTTCTTGAGAACAATGAGAACATTAGATATCTAACACTGCTACGTGGTGGTCTACTATAATGGGGTCTTATATACGGTGATTTACGATAATATCTGCTGGAGGAATACTACTGCAAAAAACCACATAATCCGGAAAACTAAAATTCCAATGACTTTGGGCCAAAAGTTACGATCTCCAGAAGAACCACAACTGCCAAAATAATAACCATCGGAGGAACTACTACTGCAAAAGCCAAAGTAGCCATAAATACACAGTTATAATGAAGAAATCACTAGTGCTAAGTCATGGCTGTCGGAGGAACAACTACTAATAAACTAATAACAGTCAAAGAAACCTCTACTGTCAAGAATACAATTGCAGGATAATTATAGCTTCTTTTACTTCATATCGATTAATGATAATTAGCCAATTAATGGTATTTATTTTCCATGGCTTTGGTAATAAACCATAAAATTTTCATATTTCGGGGGCTATTTAAGGTTACTTCGAAGTAAACAAAGATAGTGCTGCAAAAAAAAAAGGACCATGTCATAGAAACAATTTTGCTTTGCTGAAAGTATGAAATTGCCGAGGTATCTCTGAAATTTCATATCATAAATCAATACCAAAAATACTTTTAGCAAAATATAATTTTTATAACATATATAAGTCTGACCTCTGATTTTAAAGTTTAATTTCATGATTATGTATCATCAAATTTTTCAGATGCTAAGCCCGATAAGCAATAAACTAAAAGTCCGAAGCCTTGGTTTTCTTCTGGTAGCACTATATATAGTTATATTGTAGTGTTGTTATGGTTCGCTATAAAGGTCGAATTTGCCTTGCTCCAGATTATTATTTCAGTAAAGTTGATAAATTATTTTGTAAATTTGGTAAATTAAGTATAATTTCAAAAATAGATGAAATTCACTAAATTTTAGAAACTTACTTATATAAAATTAAATGCATATAATTCATATTAATAAAAGAAAAGTATAGTTTCAGTCGTCGAAAACCATACATGACTAATAAAGATACGAATCTTTAAAATCTGTGACTATGAATTCGACAGCACATAATCGAGAGCTCTAATTGTAATTATCTCGATCGAGCCATTTCAATATTAGGGATGAGAGCTGTGTTTTAAACAGAGTTAGAAATTTATTTATACGCTTATTAAGGTCCTTAGAAGAGGAGAGAGTTTTATATTACGCGATATCGATATTACGCGAATGACGTAGATCGCTCAGCGTAACATAGCTATTTCACGTGAATGTGATAGACACCAATGGTGTCACAACAATGAGTTCGAAAAAAATGACCGTTTGATAATTTCAATTAATAAACTTTTAAATTTTTAAAAAAAAGTGATCGCGTTGATTAATGTCAGATAAGGAATAAATAGGTAATAATTTATTTCAATTTCAAATAACATAACAAGACTAGGGTAAAAATTTTATGTAATAGATGAAATAACTTTATTGGTGTTTAACAGGATTTTAAACATGAAATAATTTTAAGTTAATGTTGTTCTTAATCAAATTTAGAAAAAGAATATTCGACCAAGCGTTCCAAATAATCTATTAGAGGTTTGTAGAGATGCAAACGGCGTTGGGAACAAACAATTTGTGATACGTGTTATCCATTAGTAGTTAAACTATTATTAAATGAAAAAACAAAAAGCGAGAATTTTCGGATATTCCGTATATTGGGAAAAATATGTCGAATCGGATTATTTAAAACTCCGGTGAATATTTATAGTTAAGCCGGAGCTCCATTATTAGTTGCCTGAGAGTAGACTCCGAATGTAACATGTACAAAAAATAATTGCGTTTACGAAAGGCTTGCTTTTGTTATGCAAATTGAAGATAATAATGTCCTACATATGTTGCACATGAACACATTGTTTCTTTTAAAGTCACTTTTCTTTCACACAAATACGCACACAAATATTATGTTTTTTATGACTTTCCTCTGATTTTCATCAATACCTTGAATAACATGATTATCAAAATATTTAACATAATATCACCCAATCTCTGATTGGAAATAATATGTCACATTCAGCCATAATACACTTTTTTTTTTTTAAAGTACGTACTTTAAAATCTAAGATATATATTTATTTAGATTTACAAATTTTTAAGATTTGAGTAACGTGCTTTTATTTTCCGCAGAGAGTTATACCATTACACCGAATATTTCAAGGGCATTTACACAAATACCTGAATGTGATGATTCGATCCAAAGAAAGCACAATCATGCAATGCAATAAATAACGCCTGATTACCTTAGAAAGGAAGGATAATCACATTACCTTTTTCGAAACTCGGGCGGATCTCTTAGCGGGCAGGCCCGTACGTATGTAAAATTTTTATTAGAGATGAACGTAGATTATAAAAGTAGATGAAGATTAAGCATGTAAGTCATGAAAATAGTAAAAAAAAAGATAACTCTTTTCCGAGCGAAAGCACGGTAAGTACCCATAAGATTTGAATTATCATCTTAAGGCTTACGCAATAAGGTTTGTTAAAATATGTTGGAACGGGCAATCGCATTAAAGTAATTAATTTAAAGGGGTTTTTAATATAATACCTATTTATAACCTATTATATTAATAATTATGAATGGATGTAATAATTATAGCAAATAACTTAATTTCATTAAAGTTTCTAATACAAATTAGGTTTTTTAAAAGAAAACCATTTATTTATCACATGATTTAACATGTATACCCACTTTCCTAGCCTTGAAAGAAGAAAAAATTATTCATAAATTTTTTTTTTTAAAATTCTTCTTCCTAAACTTTTTAAAATTCTTCTCAAAATTTTCCTAAACTTTAACTTTAAATTCTTAACTCAAGGTTTTTTTAAAAAAAATTTTCTTGAATTTATTTAAAAAATGTTCCTTTGTAAAAAATTAGGTGTTCCTTTTTTTATCACCCATTTACTTTATACACTTTCAACTTGTTCAAAAGATATATATATATATATCCAAAGATAAAAAAATTAATGCAATTGTCCAAAGAGATGTTGTCTAAAGAGAAAAAGCTAGTAATTATAAAACATCATATTAACCCTATATTTAATTAACATATAATCATATATTTACGAAAATTGCTGTATACAATCTCTATTAATAACCAAAACCTAAAAAAAAAAAATCAAAAAAAAAGAGAAATACATATTAAAATTATTACCTATCATATTCTTAATAATCCTTGTATTTAAAATCTAATTAAAGGTGGTTCAACCTGTAAGAAATATAATAAAAAAAAAAAAAGAAAGAAAAGAACAAATTATATACAAATAGAAAATAAAACAAGTTTGTTTTTTTCATTCACAACAAATTAGTAATTATTATAGTAGTTATCGTTAGTCTAAAAAAAGAACCAAAACATTTATAAGATTCATATACATATAAAGCAATTTAAATAGAAAAATTTAAAATAATAAAAAACAAGAAAATAATAATAATAAAATATAAAACACTACGAATAATCACCATGAGCAATCGGAGTAGGATTCCAAATACTGTATCCTTTATTTTCGTGATCATTGTAAGCTTTCTTAATAGGTCTACCTATTCGATGAACTCTTAAATGTCTACGCATATTACTGTGAACCGAAAATCTTCGACCACAACCCGGTTCAGTACAAACAAAAGGTTTTTCACCGGTATGCGAATTAATATGAATTTTAAGAGAACTAGGACGAGAAAATCGTTTTGTACAATATGGACATTGATAACGATTTTCTTCTTTAGTTGAAGGTTTAACATTAAAACCTCCATGAAAAAGATACTTTGGTGAAGTCATATTGTTAAATAACGGAGGATTAGAATGTGGAATCGAATGTCTCATAGAAAATAATTTATCATCATAAGGTCTAATTGGAGCAGGTCTGACTACCGAGTAACATTGTTGAGAAGATTGAAAATTATTATTATTAATTGATGATTTATCAAATAGATTAGTTGATGATCTAAAATCTTCATTTGCTGGACGGCAACAAGAGTAATGACAAGATTGATCTTTAGGTAATTGTTGAAGTGGAGGAATACATTGAGTCATAACTTGTTCTATATCATATCAAAGATTATTTTTTTTTTTAAAAAAAAAGGAATTTTAATAAGAATCTATCGAAGATTATTAAAATTGAAAGTTGAAATGACTCATAAAATTCATAAGAAAGGAGTTATTACCTGCATTTATCAATTTATTTTTGACATCAAGACAATTATTAATTGTTTTTGAAGGATGAATTAATGGGTTATATAGAGCGGTGGGTAAAGGATAAGAACTTGGATAAGGAAAGAGAGATTTTATTGATGGAAGAGTAGTAGTGGGTTGCATTCTTAATGAGTCAAAAGGAATATAGATTTAAATAATAAAGTAAAAAAAAAGAAAAGGCAAGAAAAAGGAAGACAAAGATAATTTTTACGGTGAACAAATAGAAAGTTTAACACCGTGATGGATAAATTCAGGGACTGATGCTTATTTATGTTAAAGTTGTATTTATTATTGTGTCACAATAAAGTCGAATGAACTTGGATTGGTAGAATGAAATACCTTAATAGTAATGTTTAACGAAAAAGGTTTTTAGCAATGCTGTTAATTATCATGATTTTCTATAAGCCCTGTAAACAAACATTAACATTGATGTTGTGTAATGATCGTTAATTGGTTATTCATCAGATGGGTATGAACTGTGTGATACGTAAATGCAAATCTTTAAATTTATGAGTCGGGTCGGGGTCAACTAAAAATTTTTCGCGCGCTAAAATTCATCTAACAAAATTTTTTAGCGCAAATATAAATCGTCATAAAATAAACACTTTATCCATATGTTGTCTGCGATCTTATATCATTAAATTTTAGTTGTACTACAGCATGCAACAAACAAATGTTGGTGTACAGTACATCGAGGAGACAACATCGAAAGATGCTAAATAAAAATAAGCCAAATTAAAAGATTTATTATTGTTTATATGTTTATAAATCTTTATTTATATTAATTTTATATTAATGAAACAAAGGCTTAAAATCCAATGCTAGAAATATAAATTCATGTGATCAATAACTCTTTAGCATTAAAATATATGCTATTATAAACTATTGATATTATATTTGATATATTTGATTAATTTATCTTAAGAATGTATAATTTTTATTACATATATTAACATAATATACTTTGTGAGAATAACCTTATCGTCATTTAATCTATAGGTGTTACTTTATTAAGTTTAATAAGCTATCGTGATTTGCACCGCGAATATTAAAAACAAAGTGTTGCAAATTTTTTTGTCCTCCCTTCTATATATGCTGTATACGTACGTATGTATGATATTATATATATAATACATATTACAATGATTTTTTTCATCTGATTATATACAGCTAGACTATTCACACATTCTCGTTGATAGTCTTTGCCTTTTAACTAATTATTATATATGATTGACAGTGTGCAAATATTTTTACCATGATTTGCTTCGCCAAGTTTTGTGAAGATCATGCAGGTATTAAGCTTCAACTTTACCTCAAAAGTATGCGGGTAATATTTTGCCCGAATATCTTGAATTTAATTTGTACCTATCAGGTTCGATCGTGAAACTTTTATGAAGTTGGTTATTACGTAAATTTATTCAAGCTAGTTCGAACCTTTATTAAGTCATGTATAGCCAAAATTCCTTTTTTCAAGAATTTTCTATTTTTTTTAAAACTATTTAATAAATAATTAAAGATATTATTAATATAATTAGAAATCATATCCGATTCAGTGTTACATTTTATTAAATTTACTATTTTTTTTTTTTTTTTTATTATTATTATTTTTTATCCAATCTTAATGCACGTGCCAGTATTTGCAAGAGAAAGTTAAATTCTTTAAAAATTGTATGCATGCGGCAGTAATGAAGGTAAAAAATGCGCGTTCTCTGAATCAATCAGTCATTGTGGTCATAATATTGACTAGAAATTTCACACCACTAATTTCAAATCATTATTGGTTACAAAATTTATCATAGCATTGATTATGTAATACTATGGCGACATAATTTTATATCTTTTTCCGAATGTAATACAGTACAGCAGTACTTATTTCTATGCATAAATAAAGGAATATTCGCGTCACAATAATTAGTTAAAAATGCCATTGAAATTCCAGGATCAGTATCACATTATATGTATTACATATCGTAACTACTACGTAATTGGATCTACGACCTTACATATCTACATATCAGATACCGATATTGTTATACTGATACTGCGCCAACAATGCGTACGACAGCTAACCTGAAAATGTCAACAAAAAAGAATCTTTGAATTCCGTTTTCTTTTCAAACCTTTATATGGATGTAAACAAAAAGAGCATGATTTTTTTTTTTTCAATGCATATATATATATGTATATATATATTGTTCCATATATTAATCAAGATTTGTAATAGGAGGCTAGGCATCGCTTCATAAAAAAAAAAAAAAAAAAAAACCTGAAAAAATTACAATGAAACTTCTAATTCGAAACATTTCATCATCAGAAGCGAGTTCATTGGTTAAGTAAAATGGATATGGATTCAAATAAGTAAATTTGTTAAGTCATTTGTTATTTAACAAAATTAAATTATGTGTTTATAATAGGGTAATATTTCACAAAAAGTAATAAAATTGTTATAATTAATAAAATAATATTACTATATGCAGTGATAAAAATTTCCTAAACCAAATCAATTTATTGTCCATTGACAAGCCAAAAATAACCAGTTTAATGTTTTTTTTGTCAGTAAATGATGACTAAATATGCGTTAAAATCTTGCCATAAATACTGTAAAAAAAAAAAAACTATTGATGTCACTGGCCAATTTTTTATTTCAGAAAACTGTATCTTTTTTTTTTAATCATCGCGAAGTGAATATAAATGTACGCGAAATTAGCGATCTTATCTAACTATTTGAAAGGATATAAAGATCCAATGATAAAGTTTTTTCATTAACATTAGCGTTAATAGTAAATCGCGTGATAAAGTTATGATAAGGAAGGCTGTGATAATTAAAGTTATTTAGGAAGGATATCTATATAGCCTTTTTCTTTCTGTTTATAAATAAATATGTTGTTTTAGGTGATATCGCATTTGGCGCTAAAAAAAACACCCATTATAATAAAATATTAATTATAATTATGATTGTGTATCACCACTCAGTGTAACCTCTCCTTACTTGAATTACGTTTTATATCCCTCTGCTGTGTATTCTCCACTTTCTACTAAACCTTTTCTATGCGAAATTTTTCAGAAAGAATTTACATTCTACTAACTTAATTCCTTGAACTGTTGTATGGATTTGCTAAATATATTTAGCAATGTGTCGTTATTGTTTTGATAAAAATAGTCTCATTACTTACTGTAGTTAATTTAACTTTATAATGATATGTATCCATGCAAGTTACAGTCTTTAAAATGCTCTTTGATTACAATGCTAATAAAAGATTAGCACATTATTATTATTATTATATTATTTTTAGATTTGAGTTTTTACAAATCGGAAATTTGCATCTAGATTGAATAATTTGCACGCAGTACACACGTACTTAACTGAAACACTGTACGTACATACGTGCATACGTGCGTACGTGTGTTTATAATCGTAAAAAAAAACAATTTTGAGTTGTGACTAATAATAAATAATGCCATCAATTACAGTACATTAGTACTCTAACGATTGAGCCAATAATGTTTCAAAGATTAACCAAATACAATATTCAATAAAAAAAGTTTATATATCATATAAATCTGCCTGCTAAATTCGTAGTTGTGTATCATTACATGCAAAATATTTCTTTTGATGTGTTTATTTTTGATTATAAATTAGTATAAATATCGATATACATAGATTTTGATCTCAAAAGTAATTAGGCGATTTTAGCACTGTAAGACATAATAATCCTATAATGATCGATGTTACAATAGTAATATTGATTTATTATTAATATAAATACACAAAAATTATACAAATTTAGGAATTTTAAACAACTTTTGAATAGCGATAGTAACATTTAATTAACTCTTTTGATTAAGAAATAATATTTATTTTCGATTAAGATTTTTGATTAAAAAAGATCAAGCAACTGTGATTATCGAATATCGAGCGATAATTTTATTTACAAACTAATTGCATTAAAAAAATTGATTATTCGATGTTCATTGACCCAGCCCTAAAGCCAAGCGATGATATACTGTAGAAATTTCCCTAGTTCAGCAGTCCATGATTTCCAACTTTGTGTAATGTTTTCCGATTGTTACCTGATTTGTTGTCCAATTTTGCATTATAATTTTAGCGAATATGGTATGGCAAGAAAATCTCATAAAAATACTATATATGTTAATATTTAAGCCTTGTTTAAAGTCGTTTCACTATCGTGCAATCGATGGCAATCAAATGATTTCAATTTCATACCTAGATGTGATTTACAGAATTTGCAAACTTTATTTCGTCATAGGCATAAAAAAAAAAAAAACCAAGTATTCACATAATACAATAAAACAACAATTTTTTTTGGTTTGACTATCCGGTTATCCAATTACCTGTCTTAGCAAGTCACGGATAGATATAACCGGTCTGGATACATTCCATTTATTTGAACGAGTAAACAGATGCCATTCCTACCTTAGTTGGTTAAATGATTATTTATTAAAGAATACTATAAGTTACATAGTTTTTAATTGAAACCGTATAAATTTAGTATAACCTTCTTTTTTTTTTTGTTGAACATTATTATAATATTGACTTGATATATAAATTGTGTAAACACTAAAATTTTTAAGCATAAGCAATAAAGTACAATTATTTACATACAACATCTAATGTTTTGTTTAAATTATTTAATAATTACTATATCTATAGTTATAATATTTTACTTTTTTTACGAGGGTTATACTTATTGGTTATAAAGTTATTTATATTAGCTTTATGCATAAATTTATAAAATAAAATTTATTAACTTAAAATATTCAATTTTAAATAAATAAATAAAAATTTTATAATTTTATTTAAGTTTTAATTTTTAATTTTAGTATTTGCCGCCAATGGTGATATCATCACTTCTTATTTTTTTTTATCAAAATTTAGAGTTAGAATGTAATTTTAAATGAGTTTGTTAACCCTAGTACTTACTTATTCTATTTTAGATTTTTTTTCTTTAGTTATACTCAACACCCAATTTAGTAGTTTGATAAGATTAGTCTGCTCAAACTTTAAGTATCTAAAGACCTTTTTTTTTCTTAGTATATACTTTAAAAACATATGTCTTTTTTCTTTGGTATAACTTTGGTAAAGTTTTTAAATTTTTTTGTTA